TTGAATTATATTAATCCATTATAATACGCGCGGGTGGATTTATCGCGCTGCCTGCCGAGCATTATTCTAACGAGATCGGGTCGACCGTAAAATTAGACTATCGAAACGTTCGCAGCAGTTATCGGTTGTAGCGCGATTACCTTTCGAAGAGCGCGATTAACGTTATCGATGTTTGACGTATTGTAGGAAAGGGGATTACGGTAGTCAACGGGCATTACGCTGCTCGGGACTCTGGTCAATTGCCATTACAGATCAACGTTTAATTGCGACCGAAGAAATTTTAACTCTCACAAAGAGCATGAATTCCGTGCACGCATTTGTCTCCGTCCTTTCAGCTGATCTTCGATCGGCTACAACGATCGTATCACCAATTATGTTCCCGATAAAATTGCTGGCTTATCGAAAGGTTTCGAAGATTGCGAAACGACAAATTACGACAAGCTGTACATTGAATCGTTGATAAGTGTCACGTAGCAGTTCTCACCACTTAGAGATACCGACTCTAAGACATTCTATCTTAGGATATTAACCTTTCGATGTCAAAGGGTTAATGAGTTATCGAAGCAGGATGGTAGAACGATTAAATTTCATTTCCTTCGTTCAATAAGTGTCATTTATGGACGATTCGACGCATTTTTAACAACATTTTTCAACAGCTCAACGTTTTTACAACCAGACGATTATTCCAAGTTTAATAACGATAACATTTATTTTAGAAATTATTCCATTTAATCACTGATAAGTAAGGAGTCCAACGGTGCTTAAATTGTGCTTCGAAACGCGTATGCTCCCGCGAACGCCGTGTCACGGGCGTGTTTATTTCCCAGCAGATAGTGAATAAATATTAATTATGCGCTATTGGTCGAGCGACGTATAGCTTGCTTGCTTTCGCAGGTCTTTGCGAAAATAATGCACGGCGCATTAATTTTCACGGGCCTTGTGTGCGGCGCGCACCATATTGGGTTACGTGTTCAATTTCTCACGCAATTACGCGTAAACATGTCCTCGAGTTCTTCCTCCTTTTTATGACGCATATTTTTTTTTGCGCAAATGGAGCATCCTCTATATCCAAAGCGGCGCAAATTAAAAGTCAAATAAACAACAAGATGCAGGATGAACACGAAAGTGGCAACTCGGCAGACTTTACCTCTTTACGACTAACAACGTCATTGCGATTATTCGCAAAAAAATATATTTCACCCCACAAGAGCACACCAAACGAATAATAAAAACCTCGTAAGCGTCGATCTTCCCGTTTACTCGGAATAAATTCCCTGGAGCCCAAACAAGGAAGTCTGCTCCTTTAATTAAAAAATTGTATTCGTAAATTGTAAAACACGTGGAACGAGAAAAAGATCCCCGTCCTTCAGCTCTGAGCCACCCGAACACACCAGGGTACAAAGCTTTCTTGCTTTTCAGCGTGCAAGAGAATCGAGGAAACAATGGTGGCAAGGAAAAGATACGGACCGAGGCGTGGGTGAAGAGAAGGTGGGGTGGGAAGGCAGATGAGAAAAAGGATACTGTACGTTGTGCCCCGTGCGGCGAGACGTGGATACGGAGTCTAATACAATTGCTTCTGTAGCAAGTTCCTCGAGAGTGCAGCGTTACAGACTACGTCGTTGCTATAGAGCTACCCCAGGCTTTTCTGTCTGACGGTGTTCGCAGCCGACGAGGTATCTTGCTAGGAGTGCAGTTACACTGCACGCTCTAACGGCGTGCTGCGCTCCTTATTAATAGGTGCACTTGGAAACTGCACGCCGCTGGGCCGGTCTACAGAGCGAAAGGTTAACAATGGGGCCACGCGAGCTGTGGCCGGAACGGAGGCGAGGGCTCAATGGCTACGGCCATTATTTATAACGCGTTGCTTGAACCGAGGAATGGCCAGAGCTGGCAAGTAAATCGTTCTATCGTTTATTAACGCCGGGGGCGTGAAAATGCATGGCGCCGCGGTGTCCGGTGAACTCACCTAGACGTCACTGAATCATAAGAAAAGGGCTGTTCCATGCCGAAGCGATTTTTATATTCTCCATATCAGGGATCTTAATCACGCTGAAATATATTGTAGTACGTATGATATAAGGAAGGGTTTAAGTTATCGGTTCTATGGTTTCGTAATTATTTAAAAAATGGGAGTCCTCGAAGTTTGCATTATTTACGAAAGTTGGTGAAAGGTGCTTTTATACACGAATTTTGAATTCTATTAAAGATGAATTCTTCTGAGTAAACTTTACCTGAATTACAAGAATGACTTTTACAACAAATAATATTATTTATACCTGCATAATACCTATAATATAAATATACCTATATTAACCTATATATATATACGCCTTAATTTTTGTCTGGAAGGAAGACTTTTCATTCATGGTATAATGCACTTTAACCCCGCAGGGGTTCACTTTATTTTAACACGGTTACAAATCGCTCGTGGCTGTTCTTACTGTTCGGACACGGCTCTCGCAGCGGGTAGCTTCTTATTAATAGACGTGCTTAGAATCCGAAGGTCCTTGTAGCACCTTGTACTTTGCAGAGTTTAACAATAGCTACCGGATGGAGTGGTATAATGAAAGGGCGTGAAGCCCGATAGCATGGTTAGGGGACTTGCGTAACACAGAGTGCGATTTACAATTTGATGTTACAGAGAGATCTCCGGATCTAAGGACTTCGTTTATGGCGCAAAACTACTCTTATTCCTTAGAAGGAAAAGAGTATTTTCTTTTTTGTAAACGATTGCCTAACGTTACTATTCATGTCTGCGACAGATTCGCAGAGGCCCATGACCTGTGGCAGCTGGCGAACCCTCGGGAGTTAATTACGCTTCGTAATTGCGAACCGAGAACCGAGTCTCTATTAATGTACAAGGTTTACCTGGATCTTTTCTCACTGGCTTTGAATTGAACCTGCTTTTATACTAATCCCATATACAGGGCAGCCGTACGGTTCTCCGTTGAAGCATCACGGGGTTGATTCAATTCGATAATGCCGCGAGCGTACCTTTCGGAAAAATCCAATCAGAGTGTGTCAACTCGTGGCTCATTATTCACGGCGCTAAATGTTGTTAATTGAAATAGAAATTCCGGGGAACTCGGAGAACAACGGTTGCTTGGTTCATTAGCAATCCTTCGAGGCTAACTAAATCTCTAGGGATACTAACCTGGACTTAAACCTTAGGGTTTTTGAAGGTTTCGTCGAAACTTCTTGCTGTTACTATAGAGTAGACCATTTGGATTCGCGTCATTTAAATTTTTAAGGATCTGCTACTTTTGTACTAACTCTTGTCTCTTGAGACCTCTTGCTACCTCCTTAAGGTACAAAGTAGACATCCAGTTCAACTTTGTTCATCTTTTATACTTTTGATAACCTACTCCCTTGTTATCCAACGTGGTCCCATGTCGTTTAAATAATCAAAAGTGTACTACGCCTCTAGATTTCATCCTTTGAGGACCTCTTGCCGATATAACCCTTTAACGAGTAAGCATTTTTGGGCAATCACACGGTTTCTGTGTAAACTTTGTTCCATAACATCTATATAAATAAAATTGAATAATAGTCTTTTAGAATGTCTAATTGAATAACTTTGGACGCACCGTCATTACGTTATCTATCGGCACACGTCAGTCAGGACGCACCGGTGCGACTGTACTCGGCAAAGGGTTAACCTACGAAGACGTTTGCTTGGCATTTCTTTCTGTTTTTTTAAATAAACTATCTGAATAATTGGATAATTTAGCGTTGAAGGTGGGACGGGTGCGTTCATTCGAGCGAGCATTATTGAGAGCGAGCAATTCGATATATCCCCAGAGCGGGTTGTTTTGGTTTCGACGTGCCACATCGGAACTGATTGACGCTCTGGGATATACTCGGTCTGACCCGGAGTTAATTACGGAACCTAAGCGAACCACAAGCCTGCGCTAAGCCGCTTGGACCAAGTCGCCATTATAATTAATTAATTAGTCGTATGGGATGTGACTTAATGTATCGTCTGCGATACATCTAAGGAAGTTCCGCTCGGTTCCATTATTGCTCGAAACTAGAATCTTTCCTTACCTTTGCCCGTTGCTCGGAATGATCCACGGCAGAGATCCTGAAAAATGCCAGGGATTTTGGAAATTAGGCAAAGATGTTAGGGTGCAACGAACGAGACATGATTCGTAGCTTTGGTGTATTTTTATTAACCGAAATCCTAGGCTATAATAAAGAATGCTATGTGTATACATATCCTCTATCTATATACAATAAATCCATCTTCCACAACGTTACCGCGTAACATTTGGCAACTCGAAACCGATTCTCTGTTCTCTTTTTCTTGGCAGGAGTCACGCGTTAGTCAGTCGCAATTCGAGAAGTGCTGGCTCCCGGACGATCAGTGACGACGGTCCTATAATACAGAGCCGCGACCGTCGCTTCCCAAAAAGCAGTGAATGTAATCTCGACTTTGGTGATTTCAAACTTTTAAGACTGTGTAGATTCGAGTCGATTTGAATGTGAACTTCAAGTTAGAATTTGGACAGGTCTGAAAGTCTTTGTCCGCCTTGATGGATTTTGAAACTCTCGTCGAGTTGGAAACATATAAATGCATTTGGGGATTAATTTTTAATTTTGGAAACCAATTGTTATTAATACTAGCTTATGATCAGTATTGAAATTATTATATTAATATTATTAATTACCATCGTACAAGTTGCTATATTTGATCAAATGTATACCCAATTTGTGTCATACTTGGCATGAATGTAAAAATTAATTCGAAGTTTCACGTGTCTGTAAATGCAGTTCGAGTCTCAAAAGTTTGAAAGCCCATAAAGAATTCTGTATCCATCGAGACTTCCAAGCCTGGATTCGAAGTAATGTTCGATTCGTTCCAGAGCCCACCGCTACTTCTCCGTCTTTCGGTCGTGGTCGCTTAGAAAGAGACAGAGATAGAAAGAGAAAGAGCGAGAGAGAGAGAGAGAGAGAGAGAGAGAGAGAGAGAGAGAGAGAGAG